CAGCTGCACATTAATCCTCAAGAATTTGAGGCGTTGCCGCATTGCATCAAACAGATCATCATCATCCACAAGAGTAATAACATCCCCATCTTCATCCATATATGTCAGAGTAAATTCAGTATTAACAGGAAAATCAAAAAGGCCAGTGATTTTTGCCCCGAGTCCAGCCATATCAAGACCCAGCTCTTCGCCGTCATCAGCACGAGCAGTGAAACGCCTTAGAGTATCACCGTACTTAACCTGAATCCATAACATTTGCAAAGCAAAAAAGAGAAACAAACAAAAATGATAGGATAAGGGATACAGAACAAATTTAAGAAATTGTTAAATTTTAAACAAAGCATCAGGAGTACAGTTTACGTCTCGGTAACATATATAAATCAGTATAACAAGATTTCAAATGGAACAGTTACGATTAATCATGAACCCATCCCGTAAATGAGTAAATGACATTATAATTATCACAGGTGCACGATATTCACGAACACAACTCATAATTTTGAGCAAAAAATTCTCAATTGCATTTGCATATGATAATCAAAATTCAAAACATAGAAAACAATCATTATGAACATAATCTCAGATTGAAAAGGAAAAGAAAAACGAAAGGGAGAAACTTTCCCATTTTTTCGCACCACATTTCCTCAGGAAACAAACAGAAATTCAAATGATGAAGAAGAAAAAAGGTCCTCAGACTGTGGAGTATCGTAAAACTCGAAACTTTCCGATGAAATAAAAAGCCGGGAAAATGAAGATCGATTAATTACAAGAGGAGGAAAAATGAACCTTGATAACGAGATTGGATTCCATTGGTGAGGAGATGAATAGCAACAAAGATGGTAGCCGTAGGTATTAGAGTAAAAGGGAATATATAAACCTAAGAAAGGTTAATTATAGAGAAACCATTAATCGGGAGACAATAATAGAGGTTTGGATTTCCTAATTATCCTTGGGGAAGTAGCTCTAGGTATACGGATCGGAAGCCGCGGAAATCCTTAAAGCACAAGCTCTCTCTCTTCATCGGTTCCAACACCACCAAGCTCTTTGGCATTTATTAATAGTATGCAAATCAACGGAAGGTTTGATAAACCATTCAATATTTGCCTTAAATACATAATTCTTATCTTCAAACTTTTGAACTTTAGGAACACCCAAAAAAAAAATTGTATTTCTTAACCAAATACATAAGTATATTGATCCTAATTCTATCGGATTATAAAAATATTTCTCATGTTTATCAACAATAGTCATATGCGTAGATGATTTCTTTTGCATTTCTTATCGTACATAATTAAAGGATTTCTGTTTTCTTCTTCAGTTAACAGTTTCAAGTTTCAACATTCCTTATATCTAGGGTATTTAAATTTTCGAACTAATTCGGTTAACTGATCGAATCGAATTAGTTCGATTAATTCGGTAGGCCATCGAATTAGTTCGGTCGGTTAACGATTAAGAAAATTTTTAAAATTCGGTTAACGGTTAATTCGATTCGAAATCAGTTAATTAATCGAATTAATCGAATTAACCGAAATTAAATTTTAAATATTAAATATATTATATATAACATATAGGATTAACCCAAACCATTTAAAACCCAATTAATAATTTAATATTCAATAACTTTTAAACCTAAATCAATATTAATTAATTAAAAAAATTATATAAAATTTTTATTTTATAATTATATATTATTTAAATTAATTGTAAACTGGTTTTTTGAATTAAAAATATTATATATAACATATAGGCTAAGCCCAACCATTTAAAACCTAATTAATAATTTAAGATCCAATAACTTTTAAACTTAAATCAATATTAATTAATTAAAAAATTTATATAAAATTTTTATTTTATAATTATATATTATTTAAATTAATTATAAACCATTTTTTTAATTAAAAAATATTTAATTTTTATATAAATTCGAAATTCTAAAAAAATCGGTTAATTCGAAAATTAACCGAACTTTATTCGGTTCGAATAATATTTTCGAAAAAAAATTCGATTCAGTTAACGATTAAAGAAAAAAAAGTTCGATTAATTCGACTAATGGTAATTCGATCGGTCCGGCCACCGAATTAACCGAATGAACAAACTTACTTATATCGAGGTATGATTTTCCTCAAATATGAACTCTATATTATTTATTTTATCATTTATAATTTTCTGTTGTTGTTCTAATTTATTCTACATTTCATCAATCGGGTTTTTAAATGATGGTAATATCTTTGTTATTTATCGTTAATTATATCTTCTTTGGTCTTCCTAATTTATTTAAGTAAATACTTTATATATTCTAATGTTAATTTATCATATCTCAACTACCAATTGTTCGATAAGAAAATGATTGTATAAAAAAGAGAGAAAATAAATTGAAGAAAATCAGATCCAAATATATAATGAATAAAAGAGAGTGTGTGTTCAATTTTTTAATTATTTGACAATAAATATTTATATTTTTATAGATGCGATATTCAGACAAAAAAACTTAAGAGATATTAGCAAATATCTTAACTATTAAAATTGTTTTATTTGTAAAAATAATTATTTATTTAATTATTGAGATTGTTTGATTCGTATATTATTATTTTATTTTAATTAATTAATTTTTTATTTTTCACTTGAAGAATTATATTTTAATTCCTAATTTCTTTTTTCTTGCAAAATTCTTTTCAATACCACCGCAACAAAGCAAGGGATCTTGAGATTATAAGTTGGTCTCATGTCCTATGTTCGAACCGCGTTGATTGAGAATCTTGGAAAAAAGCGGGGGGACAGAGTGGTGAGTTCTTTGAACCCCTCTGAAGGTTGCCTTGTAGGGTCGGATTCTTTAGGCTGACCTTGAGAGATTCTACGTTATAAAAAAAATCCTTTTAATTTTTCCTTTTCCTGCCCTATATTTTTTTTCTTTTTCTTCAACCATGAGTTTCCTTATCATCCTAACCATGGTTATTAAAATCGGATCGGACTGGCTGGTTGAACCGTGAATCGGTGGCCTGTTTGGTCCGGTTACCTCACAAAATCGGTCTGGCACTGAACCGGCTGAAAATCGGTAAAACTGGGATGAATTGACTGAAAATCGGCAAAACCGGTTTGAACCGCCGGTTCACTTTTTTTCTTTTAAAAAAAATTAAACCAAACGACGTCGTTTGTTCAACGAGCCAAGTCAAATTCGAGTATTGCTGAGCTCGACTCAAACTCGAAAACTTTAAAAGTAAGCTCAACTCAACTCAAAAACTCACAAGCTAAAAATTATTAAGTTCAACTCGAACTCGAAATAAAATTTTAAAACTTGAACTCGAAAAGGCTCGAACTCAAAAAAAAATTAGAAGTTCGATTGAAGCCTAAAATTTGAGCTCAATTGAAGCGAAAGAATAGTTCGCTATGTGCTCACCAATAGGCCGGTTCAACCGGGAACCGTTGCCTAGTCTGGTTCAATCTAAACCGGTTGAACCACCTACTAGTGAACCGGCCAGAACCGCTGAACCGTTCGAACCGGACCGGCTGAAAACCGAAAATTTTGTTTTTTAAAAAAAATTAAACCAAACGTCGTTTGTTAAACGAGCCAAGTCGAACTCGAGTATTGCTGAGCTCGACTCGAACTTGAAAACTTTAAAAGTAAGCTCAATTCCACTCAAACTCACAAGTTAAAAATTATTAAGTTCAACTCGAACTCGAAATATAATATTAAAACTTGAACTCAAAAAGGCTTGAACTAAAAAAAAAAATTAGAAGCTCAATTGAAGCCTAAAATTCGAGCTTGATTGAAGTGAAAGAATAGTTCACTCAATGCTCACCAAAAGGCTTCATGAGTTTGAATGTCAAATTACCTCTATTATTTATAGAAGTTAGTTGTGATGCTCTTCTATGTTTCTTAGCAATGTGTGATTATTTTGTTATCATATTTTTACTCTTTAGACTTTTGGGATACTCTTCTATGTTTCTTAGCCACGTGGGATTGTTTTTTTTTAAAAAATTTAAACCAAACAATATCATTTTGTTATGATTTTTTTAGCCTCAAATTTATTTTTTAATTATAGTTATATAATTATATTTATTATTTAATATGTTTTACCTTAAATATTATGTTGTAGTTAATTTGAATCATTTTGTTTTACTTGATTTTATGGTTTTTAATTTATATATATTATGACTTGCTTTGAATATGACTTGTGATATAAAAAATTATTTTTTATTAAATATTTTTGGTATTTTTATTTAATTTTTTAAATAATTATGATGTCGTCCAGTTCTTCCGACTGGTCGGACCGATTCGACCGGTTGAACCAGTAAACCGGTAGCATGCCGGTTCGCTAACCGGTCTGGTTCTGAAAACCATAGTTGGGACGCTCTTTTATGTTTCTTAGCCATGTGAAATTGTTTTTTTCTCATATTTTTATTCTTTAAACTTTTGGGATGTTTTTATATGTTTCTTAGCCATGTGAGATTTTTTTTTTATAAAAAAAATTAAACCAAATGACATCATTTGTTATAATTTTTTTAAACCCCAATTTTATTTTTTTGATTATAGTTATATAATTATATTTATTATTTAATATGTTTTATCTTAAATATTATGTTGTAGTTTATTTGAATCATTTTGTTTCACTTGATTTTATGGTTTTTAATTTATATATGTTATGACTTGTGATATTTTTATACATTTTAATATTATAAACTTAAAAAAATGTTATATATATATTAATATTGTTTTGAATATTATATAAAATAAAAAAAATTATTTTATATAAAATTCGATTCAACTGCGATTAAATCCAATTTAACTAATGAAACAGTATATTCACCGGTTCAATGTACGATCGATATTAAAAACATTGATCCTAACACAAAACAATCAAGTAACTTGACTAGATAATATCTACCAATATATATCTTGCCTATATAAACAATCAACTAGCTTGACAGATTCCCTATCCTTTTGCCCGATCTCCATCTCTTCGAACTCGGAAATCAGTATTTTTTTTGGTATAAAAGTCTCGATTAAAATCTTTTGAAATCCATTTTCTGATTTCTCCGAAGCTTGGTTTTCCACCACCAATGACCTCCTTACGACCGTAGATATGGCGACCCCCAATCTTACCGTCAGCGTAGGAGGTACTTCCTCCCTCCTTTCAGATATATCTTCCCTTATTGATTTATTTGTTTTCTTTGAATTGAAAGTTTTTGCCTTTTCTTTTGTAGTGATTGTATGGATCCACCGCCACCGGTTGGCCCACCGGCTATGGGTCCAGGAATGGTCCCGCCGTCTGCTCCTAACTCCTAACCCCGCGGTGGACAGATTCCTTACGGTGGCCCTCCAACGGCGCGTCCTCCGTCTTTTCAGGGAAGAGGACCCGGGCCCGTGCGAAGTCAAGGGAATTTCGATTCGTACTCGACCTTTCGGCCTCCCCCGGGAAGATTCGAGATGGGCCGCGGTGGGGACGTCGGTCATGGACATGTTGTAGACAGGAGAAGTGACAGTATAAGAGGTCGTGAAGTCGGCCATGGTGGTGGGGGGAGAGGTGGCCGTGGCGGCGGCGGAAGGGGTTATGGAGGGAGGCACGGAGGGTCCAGTAGAGGGGATTTAGACAATGTTTCACTTCCTAGGCAAAATTTTGGAAATCTGGTTCCTTTTGAGAAGAACTTTTATAGGGAGAGTTCTGCAGTTCGAGAAATGACAGAGCAAGAAATAATGCTTTATCGTAGAACAAGGGAGATTTCAGTTCAAGGACATGATATTCCAAAACCGATAAGGATGTTCCGTGATGCTAATTTCCCTGGTATTTATATTTTGACCGGTATTCAAATTTCTTTTTAAGGTTTTAATTGATTTAATCTGACTTTATTATTTTTAAATTGTGAATTAGATTATTGTCTTGAGGTGATTGCTAAATTGGGTTTTGTTGAGCCAACTCCAATTCAAGCTCAGGGCTGGCCTATGGCTTTGAAGGGTAAAGATCTAATCGGGATTGCTGAGACTGGTTCTGGAAAAACTCTGGCATATTTACTGCCAGCATTGATTCATGTTATTGCACAGCCACGATTGGGTTAGTGTCCTTAATATGAGTGTTTCTCTTGGTTGTTGTGGTTTTAATTTGAATTCAATTTCTCAATTTTTTGTTTCTATACTTGTGTAGTTCATGGTGATGGTCCTATTGTATTAATATTAGCACCTACGAGGGAGTTAGCTGTTCAAATTCAAGGAGAAGCTGCAAAGTTTTCTACGCGTGCTAATATAAGAAGTACCTGTATCTATGGTGGTGCTCCTAAGGGACCACAAATTAGGGATCTTAAACGAGGTATTCCTAATTCGTTTTCTTTGAAAATGTGAGTACCTTTATGCTCTTCGTAAATGTGATACTGAATTTAAGGTTTTCTATGCTAGGTGTCGAGGTTGTAATTGCTACACCTGGTCGACTGATAGATATGCTAGAAGTTCAACACACAAACTTGCAAAGAGTGACTTACCTTGTTCTGGATGAGGCTGATAGAATGCTGGATATGGGGTTTGAGCCTCAGATAAGAAAAATTGTATCTCAGGTAGCTTTATTGTCACTGAGCCATCTTCTTTTGGATTTTCCCCCTTGAAGAAATTAGCTTGAAACTAATCAGTTTCAAGGTTAAGGCTTTGCTTTGCGTGAAAGTTCGAGAATTTGTTAATCAAATGGTTAACATTTATAGTCTCTTCCGTACTTGGAGACTTAGCCATCATACCAGGCAGAGCCTAAAACTATAACTCTGTTCTGAATCTTGCAATGTAGAAATTATCAAAGTTTTATTATTACATACATTCACACACACACACACACACACACATATATATATATATATCTCGTACAAAAGATACTAGGCATTCAATTTTGCAAAAATGTTAAAATCTGTATAGTTAATGAATTAGATGTGGAAAAGGTAGATTAAACTGGTGAAGCAGAGATATTGCTCTCATGTTATGTTTGCTTTGTTCAGTTGAGAGCAAAGCTGTATATTTTAATTTATTTTGATTCCTGGTGCTTAGAATTTTGGCTGTTTTGCATCTTTTGTCTCTAAGGTTGTTGCTAATTCTAGGCATCACATCCTTTCAAATGAAAATGGTTTGAATCTTTATATGACAATTTTGGCTTTATCCATGATCAGATCCGGCCCGATAGACAAACATTGTACTGGAGTGCAACATGGCCAAAGGAAGTTGAATCATTAGCAAGGCAGTTTTTATGCAACCCATACAAGGTTTTGTAATGTAGTTTACGTGGCATCTATTTTTGCATATACTTTTATATATGTTTCATATATATATGTATGAGGGGCCTAGCTGCTTATTCCTGATTGTCCAAGTTCTTATGAGGTTCAGGTTATTATTGGATCACCTGATCTGAAAGCAAACCAATCTATTAACCAAGTTGTTGAAATCATAACAGAGATGGAAAAGTACAACAGGTCTGTTTTTGCAACTTGTTCCGTGGAAAGTTTTTATTTGATATTGTGAAATTAAATACTAATCTCTCTTTGGGCAGGCTAGTCAAATTGCTGAAAGAAGTGATGGATGGTAATCGGATACTCATATTCATGGAGACAAAGAAGGGATGTGACCAAGTTACTAGACAGCTCAGAATGGATGGATGGCCTGCCCTGTCCATCCATGGTGATAAAAATCAGGCCGAAAGAGATTGGGTCCTGGCTGAATTTAAAAGTGGCAGAAGTCCTATAATGACTGCCACTGATGTGGCTGCACGGGGACTTGGTAGGATCACTGTGTTTTAGGAGTCTTAGCATACTCATGTAGGTCTTGAAATGGTGAAGGTAATCGAGTCTGCCGGCTGCTTTCCAGTTTCCTGAGACAATAATTTGTGGCTTGGGTGCGCGGTGCCATGATGTGTTAACATTTATAATTTTTAACTGATAAGCATGATCCTCCACTTTAAGGGAGTTATGAGTTGGACTGAGAGGCATACTGGTTTCTCATATACACTATGTCCCCTAAGATAATTGGCTACTGCCTTAAGCTTACAGCTCATGTTTCATGGACACAAGGAGTTTTGCATAGACAACTGAGGTGGTGATCTATAGTTTGGAGGGGTGTACACTGAACGATACAGAGCTCGGGCTACTCCATTCCTCTTTTTGAGAAGTCGTATGTCCTGGTTTTAGTTTGGGGGAAAAGAAAATTTAGAAATCTCTCTTATGTGATAGTTGTATGTACTTCAAGTTATGTGGTTGAAGTGGAAGTTAGTGTTGCCCATCCACGGTTATGGAGCTGGTTTGTTGCGGCAGCCTGGTTGACTCACATTTGCTTATATTCTTTGATTGGGAACAAAAATGGTGGTGGTAGACCTTATTCCTGCAAAGTTAAGGTGGGCACATTTATCTAATGAATGTGTTATCTTAATATTGATCATTTGGATCTTATATTGCAGGGATAAGGGAGTTTCTGAGGGTTCTTAATGTATTGAGCCGGCTTAGTAAAAGAATATTGCATGCAATATAAGTTTTTAATGACACTCAATATTCATTTAGTCTAGAGTTGAAAACAATGTCGATTTGAGTAGCTAGGCCTGTCTATCTTGTACATTGTTTCAAGCAAATCTCCTTATGTGGCTCAAAGAAATGACTTAGGTTTTCTTAGAGCCCTCAGTTTATCGCAACTTTTATCTTTTTCTTACTCTACAACATATGTTCTGATTTTCCTTCTTTCTTTTCTGTAGATGTAAAGGACATAAAGTGTGTAATCAACTATGATTTTCCTACCAGTCTGGAGGATTATGTACACAGGATTGGTAGAACTGGACGAGCAGGGGCCAAGGGGACTGCTTTTACTTTCTTCACACAGGCAAATGCAAGGTATGCTAGGGACCTTATCAAGCTCCTACAAGATGCGGGGCAGGTTGTCTCCCCCGCATTGTCCACATTGGCTCGCTCTGCACCTTCGAAGTTTGGAGGTAATACTTTATTTGGATACCTGTTGGCTAAAGTAATGCATGGATTAAGACTTCCCCCCCCGGGTATATTCTTAGCTTTAGATAATCAACGATGCATGTTTCGGTTTCTAGGTTCTGGAGGAAACTTCAGCTCCAGAGGACGTGGCAGCTTTGGTAACCGGTCTTTGATATCAGGATCTAATTATGTATCTCTTGGTGGAAAGAAGAGGCCCTGGTAGTTCGCCTAGAGTCGGTGCCGCAATGATGCCCCCGACCCTTTTAACGGTTTATTGTAGGAAATTATCTGTGTTGTGTTGTATTGTGTTGTAGGATGTTAGGTTTCCCAGATTGTCTTTGGATTTCATGTCATCATATCTTGTTGTTAACCTTCAACAATCAACAGATATAAAATGTTAGTTTGCTGGTCAAGTTAATTATTGAAAGATTGCTTTCCCACCAAGTTTGTGCAGCCTGTCTGATACCTGGAAGATCATCACTAATTTGAGAATATATATATATAGTTGTTCATGATCTTTATTAATGTCATAAAGTAAAAATGTAAATAAAATGCATGGTGATGAATTTAATAAATTATATAAAGAAACAGTTAAAACTTTTTTTATTTTCAGGGCATCGTCCCAGAATTTATCAGTACCTTACAAATTGAAGCTTCAAAGGCATATCTTATTCATTAAATGTATTTTACAAATTGAAGAATGCTCTGGTGTCTGTCATCAGCTTATACTTTCACCACATTACCACAATGTAAAGCTGTAATACAACTTCCTTATGAGATAATAGAATAGCAATAAAGAACCAATTGCGAAACACATTTTGTGGAAAGTGCTAATCTTCTCCGGAAAACTTTGAGCCCTGCATGTGACAGAATGATTATGGTTAAGTTAGACCAGAGCAAGTAATAAGATAGCAAGGGAAACTTTTAAATGCGCGTTGGTATTACTTTGCTTCAGTTTCTGCTGCAGGTTGAGGTTCGGCTTTATCCTGTGCTGCCGCTGGTTTGGGTTGTCCCGGTTTAGATTCTACAGAAGGTGCTGACTGAGGAGTTTCAGTTAGCAACGACGGTGCCGGTTTAGTTTTTGGAGATGTTAGCGCTACTTGGGCTTGTTCAGTTGGAACAGGCACAATCCTCGCCTGTTACATTAACTCGTGAGAAAAATATATTTGCATGCCATTTATACAAATGATAATGTCCAAATTCACTCACCAATTTCCTGAATTGCAGATTGAAGAGCAGTTGAATGTATCTTTGCTTGGCTAGATTTTGTTCTTTGTTCAACTGCCTCCAAAATCCATAGGTGGATCCCATGTTCAGCAGTTTGTTTGCATAAATCTCCCATGTGTAGCTGCGTTTTCAAGTGCAAGAGACAATAACTGATGCTATTCAATGAAAAAAATTCTAGGCTAAACATTTTTCATTGGTGCCATTTTAGTGTATGGTATCGGTACCATTCATGTATGCGACGAAGCCCTTGAGTTGACACCCTGTTCCAATGTTGAGCATCCATCTTGCACTTCTCGAAGAAATCAGCTATGGTGTTGCTGGATTGGTCCCCATTGTTTGGATCAATATGAAAACCCGAGAACCCATCCACGATAATCTCGGCTGGGCCTCCCTTGTTGGTTGCAAAGGTGGGTAATCCACAGTTCATTGCTTCGATAACAGTGAGACCAAAGGCCTCGTATAGGGCGGGCTGCACGAAAGCTCCCTTCGTATCGGCAATGCATCGATACAGCTCTCCATTGCGAAGTCTATCGGTCTGGGCTGCAATCCATCTGAATTGACCCTTAAGTTGATAATGCTCTATCAGATGATGCATCTTTTTTATTTCTGCTTGCTCTTCTCTGTCATGGGACTTGGATGGATCAAAGAATCCGGCAACCACAACGAGGTTTACTAAGTCTCTAAGCCTTTTGTTCTTTCCGTACCACTCGGTTAGACCTGTAATATTCTTCACAGTATCAAGTCTTGCCATGGAGAAGATAATCGGCTTCGTCCGGTCTGCCAGATATCCACTGTTGGCAAGCATGGTATGATTAAGATTACCATTATATGTGATGAACAACCATACATCTTATGGAAATAAGTCACGTCTGGCTTACATGTGTTCACTGTTATCGTTCTGGCTGTAGAGTAATTCTTCAATGGCCGGATGGAAAGACAATAGACGCCTATTTTCCTCTGTGTAGGGAAAGTAGACGGACTGGTCAGCCCCCGGAGCAACTATGTTGAACTTGGGATCAAATATATTGATGCCTGAGACAACCCGGCAAAGTCCGGGCATGGTAAAGGCTGCATGACTTTCATACTGTCCAGGCTTTTCGGAGCTGTGCCAAATAGAAATTCACCACTTTTCAGTTAAATACTTGAGATAGAATCAGACCCATGTTGATATAACATGAAAAAATCATATCTAAACAACCTTCCGGCGATTTCCTGATAGGTGCTTGTTATGATGAAATCGGCGGCATTCATTGCTAGTATGTCAGCAGTATATTGACATGAAAAGTGATACTTTGCTTCTAGCTCTTTCCATTTGACATCTGAATCTTCATACTTGGTTTTCTCTAAAGCATGAGCTATTGTTCCCAGAGGGATTCCAAGTTTGCTAGCCATTTGGGATGCCACCAAATTTCCATCACTGTAGTTTCCGATTATGAGGTCCGGTTTACATCCCATGTGTTCAAGGATTTTAGCTTGAGCATCCTAGTTGTGGCAGACATCAAAATCCGAGTAAGTTATTTAGAAAATAACAGCAACGCAAGGATCAGTGTACTCGAAGGAACGTATATATACCTGTGCAAATGTCTCTAGATAGGGATAAATGTCAAACCGTGAGACCCATTGTTGTAGTACTCCTTTATCTGTCTTGAATGGGACTCTAAGAATGTGGGAATGATTGGTATTGACGATCGGCTCGAGCTCTTGGTTACATGTGGTTCCTCGAGCGTCCGGTATAAGGCGAGTAACCTACAATATTGCAACATGACGTGGTGATGACACGTCATAAATCACTGTTGAAGATATACGTATATATGAATATTTTGCTCACCACAACAATCTGAGGCTTCACGGACAGGCCTTGTGATTTTATTCTTAGTAGCAAGGCTTCTTCCAGAGCTTTTACTTGATCAAGAATGTAAACGACCTATTACATTTGCAAAACAATTAAATACTTAATTACCTCAGTTGAATCCATCTTTACCGTTTTGATAGATTGTTACCTGGCCTCCGGTATCCGGCAAGCCGAGGACATCCGCCTGCCCAAAGTAACCGTGAGACGATACGATTACGATCTTAAACACAGTCGGGAGCCAGCTAAAGAGCGAGTCGAGTTTTGCAGGCTCCGGTGTTTGTAGCAACTCAGAAAGGGTCATCATTGTCTCCTTAACTCTTTCTGCATTATGCCCCCATCCTTTCTCGAAACCCAACTCTTTTAACCTGATATTCATTGCCACCATTTTCCGGTTTTATATATTTGCTATGTATCAAGTAGTAGTTTCAATTTAGACATAACCTTAGCTCGAAGTTCTCGTATGGTGTTTCCTTCGGTAATGTGGAGACAGTATTGCTTCCTGCCAACAGAGCTGTTTTAAGCTTGTCGACCGTATTTAGATTTCCGTTTATCAGGAGATCCTGCAACTCCAAGTACATTCAAGCACGACTCTCACAAATAGAGGAAGAAATGGAGCCAAACATGTGTGGGTGACATATTTACCTCTCCTTGGTGATTAAGGGCCAATAGGTAGTTCAACAGCGGGCTATCGCATTCGCAGCTCTCGGATAGCTTCGAGAACATGAACTTCGAGACATAGGTGGCTCCATTGCCGACGCTAAAAGGAAGGGTTAAATGAGGGGTAGTGTAGTTAATGGATCCGAAGTCGATTTCCAAAGCATTCTCATCAGTCGCCCTGCACCGTAGCATAAGAAAGATCACTGAGAACATTGTAAGGATCCAATATAAACTGCAGGGAGAAGTAATCTGCTAATATTAATCATACCAATTTTGGTAGAAAATCGTTTCCTTGAACTTCAAGTAATCCGAAGGGTTAATGCCGTCGACATGGAGATTCTCCGAGTTCACCTTAACGAACTCCCAGAATCCCGGATTCGGTCTCACGGCAAATGCAACATATGGTGGAACCACAGCTGCCTCCTGCAGAAAAATATTTTTAGAGCTAATACATATAAAATAATAGACCTCTGGGATCTGATTAAAATGTAAGACCTGTGTGGATATCAGAATGAAACCGATTAGTCCCTCCAGGATCTTGCTTTTCTCAGCCTTGTCTTCTATTGAGTTCTCCACTTCATCCATCAATTGCTGTCTTTTTAGTAACCTTTTTCCTGATTCCACCAACCTTTTTTCGATTTTGCAGCATATTAGAGGATCTAACCATAAATGCATATATATATATATATATGGGTGTAAAATAACATAACATTCAATGAATTATTCATGATTTGTTATAATATAGCTTGTTTATTAATATGAACAAAATTTTTATGTTCATGTATTAAACGAACGAATATGAATAAAAGTATGTTCAATTTATTTATGTTCACAGACGATATTGTTTATAAGTTTATTTACCCGGTTCTTCTTTTCCTTTTATTTTTTTATATTTCAACTATTGGTTAAGGTAGAGTCTAAATGGAACATAAGATGAACTTTGAAGCTTGAACTGTGAAGCCTAAGGATAAAAAGAGGATGTTCCTCATCGAACATGTTCGAGAACGTTAAATGAATATGATCGTGAACGTTAACAAATATGTTTGTGAAATGCTAATAGAACCAAACACGGACATCTTTAAAAATAAATAAAAAAACATGATGTTAAAAATTTGAACAAACACGTAATGAACATAAACACCTTTAAAAATAAATAAAAGGACACGAACACTAACTTATTCGTTCAGTTAATATATATATAAATGAAGTATACCTGGTGAAACATTTCTTCATATGGGTGGTGCTCTGCTTCAAAGCATCAGGCATGCTATCTGCAATAGTATCCGATCGTTTCAATGATTGGCGAGACTCCATTTTCAGAGAATAAACTGCTCCAGAAAACACAAGGATTGTTGTTATTGATCGACAAGGACTTGCACGTTGGGTTATTAATGGGAATTATTTATATACATAGAGGGAGATGAAGAAATCAATGGTGAAAAGAGTAGGGAAGGAATATTATTCTTTGATGTGATTGGTGGGAATTCTAATTTTGACAAACAAGAAATTCATTGCTCATGCATTCATGGGTTGCCTTTTTTCCAATGCTAAGGAATGTGTGTGTAGGTTGTCCATTTGATTGCTTTACTCTCTCCTATTATATTATATTGTATTCATTCTTTCTTGTTTCCAAGTTCGGCAACCAAGCATTAAAACTTAAACGCTATAACACACAATCATGGGGTCATTTTGTGCTTGAAAAGTACACAATAAATCCATATATGCTCAGATCAACCTGCGTACAGCTTAAGGGACGGTGTCCTTAGTTAAGTGGGAGAAGCTCTGGGACTCTCAAGTTCTTTTGGTAAATTAAGTTCTATTCTATAGTAAAAATAGAATATTATTTTTTTTCTAAAAATTTTGACTTCGAAAAACCGCACTTATAGTAGAATATGTATACGCTTATAGTAAATCTCAAGAGAAAAAGTTAATACCTTACCAAATTGACTTGAAATAGCTTCCTCTCTTTTATACAATATACATTCAAATCAATATGAAAATTTATCAATATAAGACATGCAAAATCTTATAACATCAGAGACGGATCTAGAAATTTGAAAATGAAGATTTAAAATTTTAATATTCTTTCCTTAAAAATAATAGACTCTCTTTTCTAGGTTCATCGATATTGAATCAAACGAAATCACTTCTAACCGTTGTTCCACTTTTGGAAGACCCTGCATTATATCACCAAACCTCTATTTTCATATATAAATGTAACTAACGTATCTCCTTGGTAAAAGATTTCTCCATTATGCCCATGGACAGTTGCTCCCGGAGTTGCCAAATAAGGCTTAGTCGATCTTATTACTATAGATCAACTTGAACAATAAAAACTTGACCCGATTTTAAGTGTGGTCCGCTTTTGGTTATACATGCATTTTCAGAAATCTTTAACTTCTATTCTGATGGACTGAATATTTTTCGTAAGGAATCGTAGAAAGATGAGACGATTTTTTCTAGGAATACCCCAACGAAAAATACATATTATTCCCTCTTGTCTATCGAATCGATCATAACCACTGCCTACATTCCAAAAAATTGTACACCACAAATAGGAACTAATAAAGAGACATTTAATCCCATAGAAAGACATTACGATGCTTTGTGGAAAAAAATTATTTGCTGAGACGAAAAATAAAGATATCAAATTTCTACCAAGATAACTAGAAGTTCCAACTAATAAAAACCATAATGAACCAAAAAAAGGTTAAAGACACGAGAGAAATTATTTATTTTTCGAGACCCGACTATAAATTCTATCCATATAGATTATGATAGGCAACTCATACATACTAGATCCAGTTACATTTTATTAGAATTGAGAGAATAACAAAAAAAAGTTCGACTTTACTTTTTTTGTTTCCGAAGTTCATCAACTAGTACTATTTTGATATTTTAATATGAACATTTAGAAGGAAATCATCAAATTGTTTAGATTTAAAATCATCCCTTTTATATGATCCTCTATACTCATCAACTAGATATATAATTTTTTTTTAAAACACATAACTCTAAGTCCAACCCTAGCTAATACCCTTAAATTTTTAGGTTAGATGTGCCTAAAGATTTGGAAATTATATAAATTAAACTATGATATTTTAAAACTTTATATTTAATTATTTTTAAGTCTTTATTAATTTTGAAATTAGATTTACTATACTTTAACCTTATTTTTTAAGTTTGAATACTTCTTAAATCCCTATCAATTTTAATATTAAACAAAATAAGTAACATTTCCATTGTTTCGTTTAAACACTTCTTATATCTATGTTAATTTTAATTTTAATCAAATTAAACCTAAAGTTTAAAAATTAAACATTGACCTAATCTTATTATTATTTATATTTACCCCTAATCAATCATCCTAAGTTCTTCCCAAATAACGTTGGGTACATATCAGAAAGTGATAATTAACATAAAATTATGAAGATAATATAAAATTATTTTCATCCAATAAAACACAAATTTATTATTCGTAATCCTTACATTCTATTAACATTTTTTTTAAAAAAATATTAAAGAAAAATTAAAGGCTTCTTGACACGCATGCCCATAAAAGTTCCTATATTTTGTGGTTGGATGGACGATCCATAAGAAATGACTAATGGCCCATGGGCAACTCACTGGAGCGTGCCCTAATGGGCCCTATTTGCTCTTATATATATACACACTTTCTCTCAATTATTGTTAGGGATGGGCATCGGACCCGAAGCCAACGGGTTCCGACCGAACTCAATCGAGTCGGATTTTTTTAAAAAAAGTTAGTTTTTTAATGTGATGTTCGGATCGGTTCGAGTTCGGGTTTAGGGTGAAAAATACCGACCCTACCAAAAAAAATATAATTTTACCTTATATATTTAGGAATAATTTCAATAATACCCCTCTATATATTATTTTTTTCCAATAAAATCACAGTTTTTATTGAATAAAAATAATATTTTATTATTATTTCGGATCGGGTCAGGTTTTTAAGTTATATATCGGGTCGGGTGGAATCTTATTTTAGTCGGGTCAGATTGGATCTCGGGTGGAGGATTCCTTGTTCTCGGGTCGGGTTGGATGGACCAAAAACTCGACCTATGTCCATCCCTAATTTGTTGTTGTCTTTTAACTTGTGTTTAGAGCTCGATTAGTGACCAAATTAACATAAAGATTTGTATTGTATGGATGAGATTAGGCTAAACAAAGCTTTTCAAGTTGAGATAAATAAATTCCTTTCTATCTAAACATCTTGTCCAAATCTTGTTGATAGATTTGATGGTTATAATAAACTGCAATATCTTAGTTTTAGAATATTGGTAAGCTAGCATTAAACTATATCAAAATTCTAACATCTTGCTTAGAATTAGGGATTGATATGCTATTCCTATTTGATAAATTTCGATATAATCTAATTTTATAAAATATTTTTTTTAAAAGATTTTATTAAATTGTGACAATGATTCATGGAAAAATTATTACAAAACCATTAAACTAGATTTTCTTTTAACATAAACAAATTATGAAAATAACATACACTTAGTGATTTTTTTTACAAAAATACAAATCATTTAAATAGTTTTTGATGCCGTAAAATATAATATTTGTATATATGTTATAAGATGAAAATAAACATATAGCACAATTTTATATAAGATTATAAAAATTTCTCATATATAAGCATTTAAACTATTTAAGTCTTAAAAATAATGTTTTTATTTGATTTCTTAGAACGTATTTTTTTTATACAATTCTCATGTATAAACCATTAAACTCTGAACTAATTGTTTTCAAATTATGTTATTATCATAATTATTAATTTATTTAATGAGACAAATCATTAAAATTTTCTATTAAATACTAGAGAATTGGATCTTGAGATTAAAGTTGAAAGGTTATTTCTATGATAGATTTATATAAAATTTAATTTATTTGATAAATATATTAAATATAAATCCTAAAAATTAGAAAAGTTTCCTTGCAAGAAATGTAGTCCACATATCCATAGATAACCGTCTATTCCAAGACGAGTCGTTGGATAAACTTGGTCGACGTGCCAGTGTTAGAGCCTCTACGGAACAGTGCTGTCCAACAACGGTGTAGTGTACTTGACAAGAATTTTTAAATATTATTTTTACAAATATCCATAATACATTTTATATTTAATATTCATGTTTAAACTTTTAATAATATATATAATTCATTAAATGATTTTAATTATTAAGAGAAACATTATTTTTAAAATATTGAATTCAAACAATTATATTTACATGATATATATTATTTATTATTAAAAAAATATAAATATATAATAGTTTATAATCACCTCACATTATCAATATATATATATATATATATATATTTAAAGTTGAAGGAGATAAGAGTATTAAAACAAGGCTTTTAGTAAAGGTATAGCTTAAAAAAGTAAAAACTCTAAACTAACGAGGTTTCCGGTCATGCTTTCACCCCATGCTTTAAGCCAAGCAGTCACGGCTCACCAAATCATGGCACAATAGGGGTCCAACACCTTCAATTAAAATGAACCAAATGTCACTACTTTAATGGACTTCGTTTGATTAATTAAGTTGGCTCATACCAAAGTTGGTGGGTGGCGGTGGTGGTGGTGTGGTTCTCTATAAAGATACTAGACCATACTTTTCTTCTCTCTGCACAAATACCTTCCTTTTCCTTCCTCTGAAGCCGCTGGAAGAAAAAAAGAATAAAAGAATGGGAAACTGCCAAGCTACTGATTCAGCGACTCTGGTTCTTCAGCACCCGTGCGGGAAAGTAGAGAGATTCTACTGGCCCGTGAGAGCTCGTGAGGTGATGAAGATGAACCCCGGTCACTATGTTGCTCTGCTTATATCCACCACCTTTTATCATTCGAATCCGGGTAACAATTATAAAGCTTCACAGTCACAACAAACCGGCAGCAACACAAGTACTGTCAACCCCGTTCGCTTGACCAGGATTAAGCTTCTTCGGTCGACGGATACTCTTCTTCTCGGTCATGTTTACAGGCTCATCACCACTCAAGGTATATGTATATATATTATGGTTGTTGCTTGTTTGTTTTCTTTGGTTTTGTAATCTGATTTCGACTTGGTTTTTCTTTTTTCTGGGTTCTTAGAGGTTATGAAGGGATTTTATGCGAAGAAACATGCAAAGATGAAGAAGAACCAAGAATCTGCGGCCGAGAAACCATATGAGAAGGCTGCTGGTCAGAGATCTGAACCGGATACGGTGAGCAAACATGAAAGACAGCGATCGAGGTCGACAACATCCAGCAACTCTGCTGCCAGATCAAAGACATGGCAGCCTTCATTACAAAGCATCACCGAGGCTACAAGCTGAGGATATTTTTCATGTTTTTTTTTTGCCACGTTAAATTGCTGCATAAGAGACAAAAAAGAACCCCGAGCTTCTTTTTTAACATGTAGAAACCAATACATGCAGTTTCTCTCACTTTAGGATCCATATGTAGGCTAGCAAAACCCAGAAAACCACACCTTTCTTCAACCTGCAGACCTGAGCTATATGCATAATTGTACATCCAAAAGAAAGAAAAAAAACCGACCGAGTTTGTAATATCCAGCACTGTTATGCAATGGAGTCCTACTATTTTCCACCCAGTACAGTTATCTATACGCTGATACCATCAATGTTATCTTAGAATGTAAGAAAATCACAGAGCCAAAAGTTTCAAGGTCAGAGTTTGATTACTGTTTTTACAAAATTATAATCATAATCGAACATTACAATTTACAATCAAAACAACTGTACAAGCGAACTTAATAATGATGAGAAAAAGTTATTTATTTAAAGATTCAATCCATCTCGACTTCAGATATAATCGAAACAGGAGATCTCATAATAAAAGCAGAAAGATTGTTTAATCATTAAGCAACTACGCTGTCATTTGTTAGGGTAGCATTGCTGTTTTACAGAGCATATATTGAACCTGGAACAGAGACGAGCAATGAATTTAGAGGAGAATATGAACTATAAGTATACAAGGGAAGGTGTGTATGCATCAACAATAATTGTTTATGCAAGTAAGCCATGTATCATATCAATTCTCGTGTATACTATAAATAAAAATCAATGCATCAACAATAATTGTTTATGCAAGTAAGCCATGTATCATATCAATTCTCGTGTATACTATAAATAAAAATCACTATTCTTCAAACCAATAGGCTCTACTAAAATACAAAGGAATGGACCATAGCTTTTTCTATCCTATATGGTCCCTAAAGCTCCATGACCATGAATAGATAATTAAATTTACATACACCAGCTGATAATGTCCCTCCTAGGTTAATTTTGCAGTTTGAAATCTACTTGCATAAATATATTTTTATATTATAATTATTGTCACGATTTGATCTGATCTATTGAATCACAAAATATAACTCAAATATACATCTTCAAATTCAAATGAATGCACCCTATAAAGAAGTATTAATTGATCTAATGGTGTTCATTTTGCATAAGGTGCATATGATGGGATAATGTTAATGTTAAGGCATGAACAATTTATTAAAATAGAAATAGCAATTATTATTAATTATGTAATAATTTTAGGCCCATTAAAATAAAAAGGGAATCTTTTGTAATATTTTAAAAGCATGATTTGTTCTTTTTTGTTTAATAAGGTAATAATAAAAGTAATGCTCCACTTTACTCTTAAGAAAGCATTTGAGTGAGACAACTGCAACCAACTTAAAAGCAGTCAGAACATTCTGCGTAAAGCAGGGGGGAACCGGTTTATTTCAATGGATTTTAATATTTTAAAATAATCTTATTTAATATTCTTCAAGCAAGACGGCTTCCTCGCTCATGTAGAGAGTTGGAAAAAAAATTTTATATAGAGCTTTACTCAAATTATTTTTTGAATTGGGGTGTTTACTACAGTGACCTCATTGGTCGTCAAGTGTTCCATAAGTCGTCAAATACTTCTTGTGACAGCTTCATATGTTGCAGCAACTCTTCTCTCTTCCCTCGCTGTTGCAGTTCCATAGGTCGCCAATTGCTTCATAGGTCGCCGAGTGCTCCATAGGTCGCCGTGTGTTCCTGGAGACCTATCTAGGTCACCATGTGTTCATTGAGACCTATGGTGGTCACTGTAAAAATCATCATATTTAAGTAAATAATCATTCGAGTACACTATATAAAGAATTTTTTTTCATTACATTATTAAAACACTTTTGCCCAAGCAAGACACTAGTAAAATAATTGGATTTTAATATTTTAAAATCCTGTAATTCTTCTGGTGTGATTTTTCAAATTAAATTATTGACAAAATATGAATAGTTGTAAAGCTTGAGAAACACACAGGAACAGGATCCCTATTTATGTGGACCATTATTGGCATGTAATCTATTAATGCCTGATACAAACTTTGTCTCTATTAGTATTAAATTCAATAGGATTAACAGATATCGGCCGTGGAGCAATAATACCTCCCAATTTTCTCGTCATTTGCTTTGGTGTATAGCATCAAATGATAAAAGAGTTGGGCGTTTATAAGAAAATATATTTTAAATTTTATATTTATTTTCTCAATGAATCATCTCTTAAATTAGATCTAACTTTAAATTTAATCCAAATTTGTATCATTATAAAATATCAAAATATTTTATATAATGATAATTATTTCGAGGGCAGCTGGGATGTCGTAAAATACTGTCACATGGTGAGGCCACCTAATTAATGCATGAAAATAACGGCTTCTAAAACAATAGCAATGGCGGTGAATGGTTCCTATTAAGCAGGCTACTCAAAGTTTCAACAGACATTCCCTGTCATTTAATGTGTTGAACTTTAATAAAATATTTTGAGGAATTTATATAAAATTTTAATAAATTTAAAATAAAAACTTTAAAAACACCTTAAAAAATAAAAATGAACGAATTATAAATATTTAAAAAATAAAATTTAAAAAATAAATTAATATTTACAATAACATATTATAACATTCATGTGCAAATGAAAAAAAAATGTGAAAATGAATGGATTAATACCAATCATCCTAGCATGCATTTAAAGCACATCCACCGGTCTTCAACTCTCATTCATTACCATAAGACTAGGGGGCTTGGAGACGACTTGAATAGAATACCCTCATGCATGCATACACACACATACATTTCGCAAAACTCAGCTGTTTGACATAGGTCCAAAAGGTAACATACGTACATACATTATCCAAAATAAATTGGTTCTCAGCATATTTCAATTATGAACAATCTTCCGTCTATTTAACACAACGATTTATGCAGATCGAGCGGCTCGCATAATTACCTGAAGCCAGACAAAATAACGATTATCCTGTAGGCTAGTTCCAACAGATGATTCACAAGAGAAAATTCGCCCAAAAACCAGAGAAAAAAGTCTATAGGGTTTAATAAAATATTATAAAATCAAAACTATCCAAAATCAGTCCACAAGCCGGACTGTTATAGCCAAAAATCTTGTTTATCGGAATTTTACCAAAAATAACAAAATCCCGAAAAGCGCTCTAATTTGAAATTCAAAATAAAATAAACAATCTGCAAAAAATCTGACTGAAATCGGATTTAAAATGACTTCCTAATTGACAATCGAAATATTACTATAAATAGTAAAAAAATCTAAATCTAGTGATTTGGAGGGGAAAACGGCAGAATTTGAGGTCGAAATAAATGCTACATGGAGCATAGCTCAATGTGGACAACGTGCGCGTCGAAAAGAGCTTTTCGGATTGGGGTCTTATGCGCGATTCTGACATCCGTAGTCAAAATTATGGCCAAAAGATTGAAGCACACTCAAAATGACCCCAATAAGGAACATATCACAATCAATTCCCGCCTTTGCGTTGATCTGCCAACTCATGGCATCTCAGCGTCATCAATGTGCAATCTGACAGCTCAACATCATCTGTCTCGGATCCCCTGCATCATTACCGGTATCTACGGAAGGGCAGCAAATATTATTTGTACTTCCATGATGGACTTCATTGCTTCGGAGGCTCGTACCAGCCCCATTGTTCGTCAGAGACATTACCTGTTTTACACTCAAGTAATTTTTGAGTCCCCTGCAAGAAAATAGATTGCCACAGATAATGTATTCATCCATCAGTACAATAACTTCGATTATGGTCATCATAGAAACATGATGAAGATATCAAATCCATGAGTTCTTAGATTTGAGAAACAGGATATAGCAAGTATGGGTAATTACCATTCCCCTAGTTCACGCCCAAAGCCACTCCATTTGATGCCTACGAATGGAGCTTGACAGAAGCATGGCTGTGAACAATTGACCCACACGACGCCTAGCCGCAGAGCCTGCACAAAAGAGGCAAAGGTGTCGAATATCACAGCACACTTCGGTTGCTTGATTGGAAGATGCTTCAAGCACAGATCTTACCTTGCTTATGCGACCACATCTTTCTTGATCCTTTGATACCACAGCACCTCCCAAACCATAACTAGATAAATATTAGAAAGGAATTAGTTGAACTCCGTGATCAAAATCATAATCCCTTTTTGGTATCCCATAAGAAAAGTTCAAATCATGGGATTGTTCATGTTAACTTACTGGGTATCGTTTGCCAACTCAATGGCTTCATCTTCGGTTGAAAATGTTTTGACACAAAGAACAGGTCCAAAAACTTCTTCTCTCCATATTTGCATGGAGGTGTTTACGTCAGTGATGATGGTTGGTTCAACATAGTATCCTTTTCTAAATGCCGCAAACCATTTATGGATTAGAAATGATTCAAGGGAGAATAATGCCAATCATTGAGCATCAGAGAACTATACCTTAGGACGATCTTCGCCATACAAAATAGTTGCTCCCTCACTCCTAGCATTTGAAATGAGCTTCATTACTTTTTCATACTGCAGCAGATTAATCAAATATTAATATGGAAAAACTATTTTCCAAATATGAAACCTTGGACATTACCATAATAGTTATATTTTTAGTTACATCAGTTGCCAAATCAAGAATTATAATTAAGAAGCAGATAATCCCATCCGGACACTGACTTTAGAGTTTTAAATGGAGATTGAAAAATGACATATGATAGATTTGCATAAAAACTTGGCATTAGAGAAAAAATTTAAATGGCTATAGCTTATTTAAGTCGGTGCAGAAGTAGTAGTCCAAATTGAAACATAAAATTATCTCATTCAACTCCAAATTCCTCTCCTATGTGTTATGTGCACTAGATTCTCTATTTGCAGGTAGGTTTCTGTTCTTGTGTATATAGTCTCTGTCCCAAGAAATGGTCAACATAAATAAAAACTTTCAATGGAACTCTTTTCCGGCCACCCCTCCCTGGTCCAACTTAAATATATAGTTAAAAACTTAATATATTAACCAATATGCAGTAACAAAAGCATTACTTGCCTGCCCTTTACTAACAATGAGACCCAGTTTGCAACCTTCATCCAAGGGATCAGAAATTTTGATGTTCTCACTCCATTTCACAAGCCTGTCCAAAAATTCTGCCACAATACTTTCCTGGACAAAGTTCTCCTCATCATGACTTGGAAAAAGAAATATATAAAATCGCAACCGACAAAAAACATCCTACAAGCTTAGTTCAAGAACTCAAGGTAGCAAAATCAAGTGTT